CGGCAGGACCACTGCAGGGACAACCACCATCAGATAGAACCATCATCCCATAGAACCACCATCCACAGAAGCCTGTGGGGAGGGAAAGCACAAAGACTTTAGGAAAGGGCAATGTTGGTTTATGATGACGGTAATAGTAATGTGATTAATATTTCAAATAGTAATAATGATGATGATGGCAGTAGAAGGTATCAGCAGGGCCACGACAAGAGGCAGTAACAGGGTCCAGATTGAACCATGATCCATGGAAACTTGTGAGGCGAGAAAACACAAATTCTTGGAAGACACACAGTTAGGAATGCGCATTAATGTTTACAGTGATAGAAATGGGAACATCAATGGTGTTAGAAGCTGTAGATGTCCACGGACCAGGCAGGAGTTAGGACCAGGGTCCAGACGGAACCATGATCTACGAAGACCTGCGAGGCGAGAAAGCACAACAAACTTGGGGGAAGAAGCTGAATTAGTGATATGCATTAATAAAACCTGGGTTATTGTAGAAGGATAGAGTGAGAGTGAGAGAGGAGCACTGTGTGTCCTAAGAAGTCCCCCGGCAGCCTAAGCCTATAGCAGCTTAACTACACACTAAAAAAGGTTGGGTTAAAAATAACCCAATTTGGGTTGTTTTATAACTCAACCGCTGGGTCACCATTGCACCAACCTAGCAGTAGTTAATTTGACCCAGCACTATGGGTTGGCCATTTTAACCCAACATGAGTTAAATATTCTACCCAAATGCTGGGTCAAATTAACTACAATTCTGGGTTGTTTCAGCTACACATAGTTGTTATATATTCTACCCAAATGCTGGGTCAAATTAACTACAATTCTGAGTTGTTTCAGCTACATATAGTTGTTATATATTCTACCCAAATGCTGGGTCAAATTAACTACAATTCTGAGTTGTTTCAACTACATATAGTTGTTATATATTCTACCCAAATGCTGGGTGAAATTAAATACAATTCTGGGATTCATGCAAAGGACATATCATAATTAACACTCGGTTCGATCCCAGGCTCTGCTAACCCTCATTTTGATGTGTCTTGGGCAAGACACTTAACCCAACATTGCTCCTGTAGCTGTGACTACAGTGCGTGAATGTTAGTTATTGATGTGCAGGTGTCGTGTGTATGGTTCTCCTGTCATCAGTGTATGAATGGGTGTGAATGGGTGAATGATGTCATGCAGTGTTAAAGCGCTTTGAGTGGTCAGAAGACTAGAAAAGCGCTATACAAGTACTGTCCATTTACCATTATTAATATGTCCTGCTGTTTGTCAAAACAGGTAAAATGCGCAAATGGCTTTTTTACCCTGGGAGGATGGCGGTTAACTTCCAGAAGGGAACGCTGGGATTTCTTCCTCAGGATCCCACTGATGCAGCCAAAGTCCTCAAAGACAACCCAGCTCTGCAGGACAAGTCTGCACCTATGAAGGAGAAGCTGGTCAGGCTGAATGCTTTGCATGTGGTCCGCATGAGAGGGGGGGATTCTTCAGATAACACTGAGGTGACTGGAGAATACATCCTGCAGTTTGGTAGTATTAGGAAGTATAAGGGGAAGTCCTTCCGCTGGCTGCTGGAGAATGATATCGGGTACACCATCTACCGGATCAGGAACCAGCAGAAGGAGCAGGCTGCAGGAGTGTTCATGGCAGCGGGGCACAACAAAGACAGCCTACTGTCATTTGTAAATTATTCACTGGGCTTTAAAGACATCCAGTCTTTAGTCAACTACGAGGAACAGAAGCCACCAGTGATCGCAGCAGCAGCATCAGAGGATGACCTCTTGGTTGGTTTTGGTGCTCGTGCTAACAGCACCTGGCGAGAAATCTGGGACAGCAGAGTGGATGGCTATGCAGCCTTCATCTTCAAGAAGAGCTGTGCTCCAGGTACAAAAATGTACAAACTCAAGATGTACCTGCAGAAAAAGCAGCCTCCTCCCTCTGTCTCCTCACCAACCACACAGACCTCCTCCTCCTCTGCTCCTGCTGAAAGCATGGGTGGGTATACACTCTTGTATACACAGAAAGAGACACACTTCATCATTGCAGAAGATGCTCATTTAATGACAATTATCTAATTGCCTGTCTACATTAAAGTGATGGATGAAGATGAGGAGCTGGAGAGGCTGATGCTGAGCATTTCTCCTGCAAAGCAACAGGTGCAGAGTTGTGAGTAAACATTTGCTGTAAACTGTTTATTCTGTTCAGTAAATATAATATATTGTTTGTGTTAAACAGCTGTTTCTGCATCATCATCATCATCAACTGCCATGGGATGACAACAGGTTCCAGAAACAAAACAAGTTTTTTTAGCATTCATTCCTATATATTTCATATATATTTAAAGTCTTTGCTTTGAATTCAGGATTCTGCAAATGTGCTTCTTCCCCTTTCTGAGACATCAATTTCAGATTGCAAATCATTTGCATGCATGTGGCTTTACCAGATCTCCAATTCTCTAAAACAAGTCTTCAACTAAGGATACTGCAAGCTTGGCCAAAAGTGTGGCATATAATGGACTAAACTACAAGTGTGTGATGATTTTGATCCATGGCTTGCTGGGTGCACAGCCAGAGTTTGATGAAATCATCTAAATGGTGATACTGCAAGACAACTTTATCTTCGTTCTCTGTAAGATTATAAATTAATAATTTGAATACTAAATAATCTTTTTCAATGTGTAGCAAGTGAGAAAATGTCCTTCCTGAGCTACTGTAGATTCAGGCAGGCCTTGGTACCGCCCACTTCCTGGTTCACCTATTAGAAAGGGTATAAAAGCTGCACATAATGAAGCTAGTGTCACCACGCTTGTCCCTTTCTGTGTTGGAGGCTGGCAGGAGAATCCACTGAGCTGGTGGGTGTTTTTAGTCTCAATTCTTAGGAAACTGATTTGGCCATTGGTTAACTTTCTGTTTGTATTTCCCAGCTTGTCATGGAGGCCCAAACCATGTGTGAGCCGGACCAGGTGGAGGAGCCTTAAAGTAACTCCAGGCTGGCATTCGAAGCCACTGCTATTTTGTATTGCTTATTCAGTTCCTCTCTGGAGTTTCTTCATGTTGGTAATGTTAGTTTGCTGATGACTTTTGGTAAGTAATTTGTTTATTTTTGTGTTTGAGGTTGTCTGCAGAGTAACATCCCAGATGGTGGGTCTGTTGGCTGGGCCTTTCACCTGCTCATCCCATTTTCCGTTGTGTTTCTGTATTTTCTTTTTACATAGCATGCCTGTTTTATATTGTTTGTGTGGAGAAACTGAGTCGGTGAGTGCCCTGTGCCAGAGCCTGTCCCTGTTCCTGCGCCGGTGCAGCCTAGTCACCCTTAGCACTTAATTTGTTTGTAGAGGTGCATTTGGTTATTCCTACAGCTGATGGAAATTGGTTTAATTGTTTTGTATGCTTTCTATATTTGAACTAAATGTTGAAATCTGGGAATACTTTTTCCTCAGTCTGACTTCAGTCACCTGTTGATCCGTGGTTGTTGGATAATTTATGAGGAAATATATTAACCCTGTGCTACCGGTGGTTACAAATGTCTTTCCTCAATTTGCTCAACTTCCCATGACTTTATCTACACACTATGAATCAGCTAAAACTAATGCATTCTAATACAACAGCCCTATAACAATTTCTCCCTCATTCTCTTGTATCTGTGTCGACAGCTCAAATGGAAATCGGCCAATGGTACCCCTAGAGGGGATTTACTTGCACGTTGAAATTTACTAATTGATTGTGATCTCTTCTCAGACTGCTGTGGCTGGTTCTACACCTGCAGAATCAAGATGGCCAATGGAAAAACTAAAACTTCCAAATTGCTTGCCAGAGTCACCAGATATATCTACTGCAAGATGAAGAGAACCTTTTAGGTTAAAGGGCAACCTCACTTCAATATATGGACCAAGATTTTGGCAATTCCTTTTTAATCTCAACTTTACCACTGAATTTCAGGGACAAGTAGGAGGGTTAGTTGATGTGTAAAATGTTTGACCTACCTCTGTATTGCCCGTGGGATATTTCGTAACCCTGTTTTATAAATTGTTGCAGATAATTTCATTTTTTTTTAAATATTGTATTGTCATTTACTCATTTCAGTTGGTTCAATATGCGTTGGGCAAGAAACCTGGTGGAGACTGTGGTGCCATGAGCGCAAACAAAAGGTATGTCTGACTTGGGTTGTTAACAAGTACCCTACTAACGAGCCACTACTCATATTTAACTGCACGCATTTTTCACAATGTTTTAACTGTTTGACTTGCTTGGTGATTTATGGTGATTGTGACGTTTGTTCCATAGTGCAAGTGAATCTTATGTGTGTACCCTGTAAAAATGCACTTTAAATACACATTTCTGTGACGGTAATTAAAACTAATTTTACATTTTTATTTAAAGAGTCAACCTCATAAATGGTAAATGGACTGTACTTGTGTGTGTGTATATAGCGCTTTTCTAGTCTTCCGACTACTCAAAGCGCTTTAACACTATATGACCTCATTCACCCATTCATACACTGATGACAGGAAAACCATACAGTGACACCTGCCCATCAGTAACATTCATACGCTGTAATCGCAGCTACAGGAGCAATGTTGGGTTAAGTGTCTTGCCCAAGGACACATCGACATGCGGGTTAGCCAGGACTGGGATCAAACCCACAACCCCTCTGATTGGAGGACTACATGCTCCCCACTCACCCACAGCCACCCATAGTGCTGTACACTTCAGTGTAACCCCAACACTGTAGGTTAAGACCTTATGTTTACTGGCTTAGTGTTGCAACGTACTCCAATTTCAGTCAAATTTACTGTGTACCTGGAATGTAATCTTGGCAGTGAATTGATAGAATGTCAATGTATTCTAGAGGAGATGGAGAAGATGGGTGAGGCCTGGGCTCTTCGTCAAGGTATTTTTTTTGATGTAATTCTTGTCGTACAAGCTGTAATGGCCCTAATAAAAGGTCTTTCTAACTGTAAATGCCTGAGTGTTGTGGCCTGTCATGAAGAACTATTTGGATCCTTTAGCTGCGGTTTAACTATTTGCTGTTGGCCAATGTGTTAGGCTAATGTTATTTAGCAATACTATGGGCAAGAAGATGCCATCTTGTCTGTTTCAAAGATTTTTCAGAATGGGTTGTGATTCCACACAGGACGGTCCAGAGAATACAACAGGCTCCTGCCTTGAGGATCCCCAGAAGTGGTTGAGGAGTTTCAACCTCCTGTGACGGTGGAAATTACCCGCAGTCTTTAGTGATTTCAGTGAACGGTAAGAGTTAGAGTTAGTAACAGTAGTTTTTGATATGTAATGCTTGTCATGCAGGCTGTGTGACGGGTCTAATAAAACATTCGTTTTCAAACTGTCAAGAGCCTGACTGTTGCATAATGTGTTAACTGTATCTTCTAAAATGTGGTTGGATGTCCTGAACTATGCCACCCTCATTTAGCTGCTTAATTTAAATTTGGCAGTTTTTGCTCATACAGGGAAACTGCAATCAATGTTCGGAAAACATTCCGGTTGGGTAAAGTAGTTCTGTGATTCCACGCAGGACGGTCCAGAGAAGACCACAGGGTCCTGCCTCGGGCTCCCAAGCAACTTCAGCCTCCTGTGAAAATTGAGAGGTGAGACCCTTTCTCAGTACTGCTTTTCATGTAATGCTGTGAAAGTCTAATACAATGTTCTGTTAGAATGCCTGACTGTTGGTTAACTGTATATGCTCCTAATATGTACTGAACTGATCCAGTCTTTATCTGCGCTTTCCCAGTGTGTAAAAAGATGCATTCTTGTCAGTGTTTAAATATTTCTTGTTTGCTAAAGTACTGTTGTGCTACCACACAGGACTATTCAGAGAACACAACAGGCTCCTGCTTCAGGGGCAGGCAGCTTTAGCCTCCTGTGGAAAATGCCGTATGCTCCTGCCAAATTAGCGATTTGACTGACTGTAAGACTTTTTTCCCCAGTAATGGTAATGCAGGCTGTGTGACAAGTCTAGAAAAATGTTTGAAGTGGTGTGATTGCATAATGGGTCAACTTGCGGTGCTTCTTGTCTTTGGTTGTATGCCCTTAACAATTTTCCAATGTTTTAGGTTTACATGTATCAATAAAAACACATTCCTATCAGTGCAAAAACATTGTCAGTGTTTCAAGACGAGTTGGGTAATGTAGTCTTATTTCTTGCAGGTAGATAGAATCCAACTCTCTACAGGCTTTGGCAGAAGGTAAGAATTTTTTTTTTTTATTGGGGGTTTTGTGTGCCCAGCGGGGGCTAAGTGTGGGCTAAGTGTGGGCTAAGTGTGGGCTAGGGTTAGCGGGGGCTAAGTGTGGGCTAGGGCTAGGGTTAGGGCTAGGGTTAGGGTTAGGGTTAGGGGTTATGGGGTTGGGACAGCGGTCCGAAGACCACTGTCGGTGCACGGTCCATCAAACCGGACAGGTCCCGCAGTCCCGAACATCCACGCAGCCTCCTGTTGTCCTCCGTCTCCAGCCTCCAGCTTTCTGTTATTAAACTGTTATTGATTTTGTAAACGTAAACACGAAGCCGTCACCTTCATCAGCAGCCGTCCGTGTTGCGGTTTAGCTGACGCTGCACCTGGACTGGTCTCAGCGGCGTGGCTCGGTTGGCAGGTCATCGCGTGTGCGTCGTCTCTCTCCTCTCCGGCCCCCTTGCTTCGATGTTATTGCATCATCATACGTCGTGCCGCGTTCGCGTTCGGCTCATGTTGTGCGTGGTACGCCTCAATGTCTATGGACTCGCTAGCGG